AAAATGTATACCTCAACGTAACAATGTTCAACTTAACCCTACTGCAAACTTATAATTCTGTTAACACTTAGAGTGGATTTAATTCTGTGTCGTCACGAAAATTTAAATGCGTTAAATATTAAATTAATAAACGCGAACAAGAGAATTTATAACACCAAGTGGAAATATTTTTGTCCTCCAGCGCCTAAAATGAATAACTTGAATATTTTAGATATTAAATTTTTTTAAAGAGTTTGAGGGATGAATGTTAATATCGTCCAAAGGTTTCGGTAACGCAGCGACAAAGAATTTAAATTAACTTCCTCAAGCATCATTTCGGTTTGTTGGTATAGGTCCTGGTATAGGTATTACGTTACATGTGTACTAGGCACTAAAAACCGTTCAAAAATTGTCAAAACTTCAAACTGAGAAACTACATAAACAATTCTGACCGAAACTACAATTGCCCTAATTAACCGAGGGCGGTGAACGATTTACGAGTACAGTATACGCATTGTTAGCACAGCATCCACTACGATCTTAGGAATTTGTACTGCTTTGTCTAACTTTTCGCAATATTGAAATTCTCATACTCCGCTGTTTATCCTTTTGCAAATTATGTCACTAGTAGTAGTAAAAGAATGGAATCATTAATACTTTTATTTTTTAATAGAGTACGTTGTCTTAGAGCGATTCAATCCGTGGTTATAAAGAAGAATCTTTGATCTGCTCTCTTAAGCACTACCTCAAAACCACAAATGCTAAATCTCAGAGATGTTAGAATCTCAGCACTTCACAACATTAGGATTTCATACTCTACAATCTAAATCCATCCCAAAATATCAAACCTTATATTTCGAATTTCCAAAATCAGCAAATTTAAAAACCCAGAAATTCCAACACTTCAAAATCCAGAAACTCCAATACCATAGACGCCAAAAATGTTAAGATTTCAAAGTGTACGATACCAAAATTTTAAGATGAAAAACCTCTAAATTTACCAAAAGTCTGAAAGGTTTTGTAATTCAGGAATACCGCAACACCATTTAAAAAGCCTCGACAAAAGGACGCAAATATCAAACATCAGAAATCTGGAAATCGATTGTGTAGCTGAGTGGTAAAGAGTTGGGCTACATAGTCGGAGGTCGGGTGTTGGAACCTGGGGTGAGGTATGAATTTTTCATCCATGGCAGAGATGAGGAAGTGGCTTCAGTTTCGAGCATTCTGCTGACTACTCCGAATTAGGTTTTCCTGCAGTTTTCCTAATTCCTAAGGTAAATACCGGAGCAGTATAGAACAACTTAAGACCTTCTGTAAGGGGCACCTCTGAAAAGCATTATGCTAGTGCGAAAGCCTATTGGGGGCCCAGAACAAGAGGGGGAAAATAAATAAATAAATAAACAAAAAAATAAATTAATTAAAAAATAAATAAATAATAGCTACTTGTGTTTGGAAAATTTTCTCAACGCTGATTAAAAAACAATCATACACTGCCGACACTGTACTGTTAATTGTAAGAATTGAACGTCTTTTGTTTTATCATGGCACACTTGGGTTCGGAAAAGAACGTTTTTTTTTTACAAATTGGCATTTCGACTTGGTTTTTCTCTGAAATGTTCTTATGGAATGTGTGGTTTTGTTGATATCAATGGAAAGTTTGTAGTTTTGGCCACCCAAAAGTATAATTTGTTAGGGGGGTGCTATTTGAAATTTTAAAAAAATATGATATTTAGCGAAGGTCAATCAAAAACTTTATTTTTTCGATAAAGTACATAAAAAAAATTATGTGACTGTGGAAGAGGTCTTAACCTGTGCCTCAGTCCAAAAATTAATCGCCTGCGCGATTTAGTTTCTCTCAAAAAAAATTTCGAAAAACTGTCAAATTTTGACGAAAAAAGGTTGTAACAGCGAAATCGTTAAAGTTAGTGGTATAACATGTTACCTAAAAAAATAAGTACTTTTGAAATCAGTAATAAAATTTGGGGTGTTCCATTAAAAAAATGCAAGTTTGATACGCCACTGGAATACAGCACGTCCCTGGTGATCAAAAATATTTTAGAAACATGCCGGCTGTAATTGTGTACAATTTTGCTCTAAGACTTTTTTCGGTATCTTTTATGGTAAAGGGGTTATGATCCCAGGGATCTTAGGTGCTACACCCTGTACAGTCCTCAAAATGTATCGAGATTTTGCTTTAATGAGGTCATGGTATTTGCCCTAATGAAATTTTACAACTTTGGGATAAGGCAAAACACCAAAAATCCTAAAATTATCAATATCCAAAGGTCAAAAAATTCTTATCTCAAAATGTCAAAACCTTAACATTGCCATAGTAATAATGCCGAACAATGTTGTGAAGATTATGCGCAATTAAAGAGTTATTATCATGCTTTAAACAAAAAGCAGAAAATTCCGATTATTTCTGAAAATATGCCAGAAAAACCGAAATTTGCCGATTTCGTTTCTGTATTTGTCTGATGTTATTTGAACAGATAAAAAAATCATTTTCTCATTGCCACTCTACAAGACTCCGTTGAGACTTTCTTAATATAACGTTTTGTTTCGGAGAAATTATCAACTTAATTTTTTATGTGGGCCGTAAAAAAATACGCTTTGAATTGAGTAGCATTTCTTTATTACTAATACAACGGTGTACGTCACACAAAAAAGACATAAGTTGGAAACGGTTGGTTTCAACATGATGGTGAACCCGCCCACATCGCCATAATCGTGCGAGAACACCTATCGGACAAATTTCCTGGAAAAAGGAAAATCTGATGAGTACTAAAGTATAGCATAAGTAAAAGCATTTTTTCCCAATTTATTCAAGGGTCAGTATGTGTCGTTTACAGACCTTACCAAAAGTCTGAAAATGCGGGTTCCATAGTTCCATAGCAACCAAAGAAGAAAGGGGCATTGTATCAGACTCCCCTCTCCCTTTCCACCACAACCGGGTACTTATACACACTAAATTCACATTCACCACTTCACATCAGGAAAATGCAAGTGAAACCAGAGGTTTACACCGAGAGGCGGTTAAAGTAACGAATTGAACTAGAAACATCAACTACTTAATTATTGAATTATTCAAGTGGCGGAGTCAAACATAAAGCAGAGGAGCTACTAACAGTGCCATGGGTATAGAAAAGTAGCCACCAGTACTGACTGAGAATAACGCCAAGTCCACTGTACTAACAACAAACACGGACACAAACTAAAAGGAGATCGAAATAAAAAATAACCAAAAGGGTGGCAGTGCAATACAGAGTGCGCCAAAAATCCTGGATCAGTCGAATGTTTCGCGGATTATGTGTCATTTGACGGCTCGTCCCATTTACAAAGTTTGTGTGGTATTAAGATCTTGTAAACAGAACGGCGTTCTGCCTCCAGCCAACTGACCAGAGGTCGAAATTAGGAGTAATTTAAGAATATTTAATTTAAAAAAATATTACAACAAATTTTGTATCTCCATCCTTGAATCTGAGCCGGCGCTGGGTCTGGAGACACCGCCACTGGTTGCCACTGTCAAAACGAATGGCGTCAAATAAACGTTTGTACTTTGTAACTGCTCGTAATTTGATTTTCGGAAATGATATGTGCCGTTTGTGTTGAACGGTAGCTGTAATTACAGTTATTCAATATAAGCAGGGATTTTGATCAAACCTACTGGATGCAGGTATATGAAATACAGGAAACTTTCTCCTCCGGTGACAAATAATGTCAAAATGATGTTGCGTATTGCTTATGGACAGTTGCTAGTTGCTCCAATGTGAGACTTCTAATTTAATTCAATGTAGAATAGGAACAGCGATAATATTGCGTATTGCCAGTATTACTTATCGCCCTCAGGGCGAGAGCCGCCTAAATGTAAATAAATTTTAAGTACAGGTACAATAGATAGGTTAAGATTGTGGACACCCTCTATACTGTATAGACATTTAAATAATAAATTATATCTTTAATTGTACATACATATACAGTGATTTCATGTAAAAGTAGAGATTGGGATTTCCTATAGGAATTTCCTATGTCAACTTTTACATGATAAAAAGTCTCCTGAAAGACGCCTAATTTTATGCAACCAAAATACCTTAAAACAAATAAAGAACTGGCTGTCATATTAATTATTAATTTGAATATTGTTGCTTTAGCTTCACGGAAAATAAATCTCTTAAGCTCCTTTATATGTTATCGGCACTATACCAATTGGAAATATCAACTTTTTTCTTTAGTTGAATACATCGCACAAGAACCGAAATTAGAATAGGGAAGTCAAAGCGATAATATTTAAATTAATTAATATGACAAGCAGATCCTCATTATTTGTTGTAGGTAGTTACTTTGGTTGCATAAAATTAGGCGTCTTTCAGGAGACTTTTTATCATGTAAAAGTAGACAGGAAATCCCTATGTCTACTTCTACATGAATATCACTGTATAATTGTAGGTAATATATTTCAGTTGGAGTGTCCATAGTCGTTATCAATTATTACTAGACCTTAAGCCCATTGGTCCTGGGAAAGAGATATGTCAGTTCGTGCAGAACTAGTTGCTGGAGTATTACCTTAATGTAAAATTAAATCAAAGAGCAATTGAGAACAATAACTAGTGTTGAAGTACCAAAAAAATTTAACGGTTTTTAGATAAACAATTTTGTTTCACGTTAATGTATTGTAATTGCACTATGAAAGTAACTTATTATTGTCCCAACTGCTAATACATTTTATACCTAACAAAATCTAGTCCCCTATGAAAACCATTTGAACTTAACATTGCAATGCATTCATCAGTAATTTGAGCAAAGTAGAGCATTTATACCTAAGGTATGAACTCCTAGAACTTATTGCGGAGCATTCAAATTCAAAATCCTATTTTATAACAAACGAACTCTTTAATTACGAACGCCCGGTAGCCGAAGGATAAATTTATACGTGTTTAAAGTGGAATTTAAATAAACGCATTTTGCATTGGCATTTTGTTGCGCTTAAAAAAAACGAAACTGAATAGAAAGTTTTTCCTTGCCTTTAGCGACCGGCGAGACAGCTATGAAATTAACGAGGGCAGCTCCCGTGCTGTGTCCCATCAGTGTTACTCTCTCGGGATCGCCACCGAAAGCTGGAAGGTTCTCCCGAAGCCAGTGTAAACCTGCTACAAGATCCATTAGGCCGAAATTCCCCTGCGCGCTTCCTTTAGCGCCGGTTTTTAGAAATCCTGAAACAAATCACTGTTGTAATACTCTTTTATACAATACAGTTTTTCATTTAAATGGTGAATTAAAGACACCCACAGAAAATGATTTTCATACAATTTTTTCTCTATGTACGTCACAAAATGTCGAAGCAGTGCTATTGGAGCGCTTACGGATTTTAAAACATACGTTAAAGGAAATTTGAACATCAACCACATTCGTGTATGCAGTACATAGGATAGGTTAAATTGAGCACATTAATGTTCGGTTATTAACCCATAACAGACAACCTTTGTGTATTTTTGGCATGGACAAACATTGTTTAAAAAGTTTGGTGTCGTTTGATCCAAAGAGCGCAAGAGACATCAGTCCACCAAACGAAAACGACTCTCTCATTCTTAATAGTTTTGTTGCATTTTCAAATTTGCTATGATCGTAGTTAAATTACACCACTTTTCAGAACGGACGTAAAAAACAGACATTTTTTGTTTACAACGCGGTCAGAAATATAAACTTAAACCGTCCGTGAATTATGCAAGCATTTAAAAAATGAACAAAAAAGGGTCTGCCGTAAATTGTGGGTACTTTTTTGTATCGGATATTAACACAAACGGGAATTTCACAAAAATAGTCTTTTATCAAAGACAATTTTTGGCAATCGTGAGTTGTTCCATTGATCCGATTTTGTTTTGTTAGCTTTCCATTGGAGCTAGTTCGTGGTTGCAAAGGTAAATGTAATAAGATTCGTAATGCAAATCTCCGACGCTTGATGATCAGAGCGTTTACTGCAGAGTCACTAATTAAAGCATGTTTCCAGTAAGGGAAATGCCCACTTTGTAGAAACACGTGCTTTTGCAGCGGTTGGCAAAGCTAGTTAGACACAAACGCATTATTAATATTAATGCAAAATATGTAATAGCGTTTTTTTTTAAATTAGTGTCCCGAAAGCCTAATCGGCATTGAAAAGCACTATGATTGATTTTGTGTTTTAAAAATGAAAGGTAATTGGTATGTTTGAGCTTATTTAAATGAAACACCCAATATATTTTTGTGTTGTCCTTTAATTTATTCAATAATTTTTCGTTAATGATGTTCAACACCGATCTTCACTAGTTTTCAAAGTATAATTAAAGATAATAAGTAAGAAATAACAACAAATAATATTAAATAATTATTTATGCATCAAAATGCAATAAAAATACGAGGCGAAAGTTTTCAAAGGCGAATTTTATATTACAGTTTGAATTTTCATTGAAAGCATTTTTCGTTGGTTTTACTAATATTAAAAAAGAACTAGAATTTTCTGTAGAAGTAGAATTTAAAACCAAATACAGAACGTTCTATATACAAAATGTAACTTTTGACCCTCTTTTTCATGATCACACCCTATATAATTCAAAATACTTTTAAAATATGCAAATATTCTATCAAATTATCTTACCAAAGCGCAATTGACAAATTCTTCCTTAGAGCTACAATAGCATTAGGCACAATCGTTCATTCACCCTGTATATAGCCCGATGTAGTGACTTCTCTACAGAAAATTATGCGAGAAGTTTTCACGCGGTAACAGTACATAATTTTTGTAACTATTGATGCATACTCGGTTCATTGAAATATTTTTTGAACTTAGCGTTCCTACTAAGGGCCAGGATAAGGAAGGACAATCAATGTCCATGTCGTAATTTTGGCGATTCAGTATAGAAATGTTAAATGTTAACATTAATTGTTAAATGTTAATACTTTTAACTTACGTTAAGGTATCACTACCAAATGTGACCTGTTATAGATGTGGTAATCCTGGGTTCATTCGCGCGAACTGTCATAATTGTAAAACACTAAAGGTTTTTTTCCCTGTTGCAACTTTGACTTATCCGATCCTAGTAATAGGCCCATTCTAAAACTGATCATATTAGGCATGAAATGGGGTTACATTTTTATCACAAATATGATTAAAACGAAATTTTATTGTAATAGACGATCACTCACAAAATCTTAGATATAATCAGCATAATATTGAAATTAATTAGGGTAGCTAATGGTGTAACGTGGGTGATCACTGACCTACCTTGTATTCCTTTTTATTTAGCTTTGTAAATTAAGTCTAAGTATTCACCCTATTACATGTAAACCAAGTAGCACAATTCATACGGAAAATCTGGCTTTAATAGACATTTTTTCTGTCGCGTGCTCAATTATTTTGTGACGGCGAGGTTTTAATAAACCGTAAATTTTCTTTGTCACACCGATTTTTGATTGAAATGAGCTATTTCTAATAATTGCGAAAATTGATTGTAAAATTTGTTATAAGCAAAACTCAGTTTCTTAGATGTACCCAATAGTGTTCCACCGTATGTAATCTCCTGCTTCCACTTCAGTGGTCAGCAGTCAAGCAACCTTCTCCTTGTTTTGCTTTGGTGTATGGGATTTTATAAGCAACTTTAGGTTCATGCATCATTTAATTTTTCTTAAATACCGGACAAAGAGGAAGGAAGGATTCACCCTTCCTTGCTGAGGTTCTTTATCTCACATGGATTTTGGTGGTGGGTAAATTGTGCGGAAATGCTTTAGGTTGCTCATTTCGTCACGAATTTCCATCGCCTTCACTTAAGAGTGAAATTATATCGAATAGTGTACTTATTCGCTTGCCTAGTCAAATTTACCTGTAAATTCTATGCGCACGTATTTTCCAATTGCCTACGTGTTTTACCTTTTACACAAAGAGACGCTCCGATTGAAACTTTTACATATCTGCCCCTTTGAAAGCTGTACTGGAATTTGATGTCAATACGCGTTTCAGCATTTTCAAATTTGTATTTGTGTAAATACAACACTCAAAGCGCCTAAAGGCGTTGCCAAAATTAATTTGCAATGAAGCTGTGTTCGGTTGTTGTTTGTGTTGAATGTTTTGAAACCGCTAATCGTCGACTCCGCGTAATGTACAAGAAGCCAAATTAGATTAACTGAATTTTAGTTGACTTTTACTTAAACTGGAGGCTTTAGGATATTATTTCGTTAACCATTATTTTTCCCTAAACGAAACCGCAATTTCTCTGTTGTGGCAGCGCAAGATTAAAATTGAGGTTCGTTGCTCCGAAATAAAACCCATCCCAATTGCGCCTTCCAATGTATTACGTTTTGTTTGAGGTTGGGTTATTAACGCAACGCTCTCGGAAGTAGTTCCTAAGGAGGGCGCATTGTAATTAGAAAGAGGAGAAAACGCTTTATTCAACGTTTACGTATTCAGTAGCGAATTCCCTATGAGGATATCTTGCGTTATACCAATGGACCTAGAAAACCACTTCTTTTTTCAAGAGTCAAAATATTAGGTTATTGTTTGACATCGCCAAAGTTTGACATTACCAAAGCAGATTTTACTTTGCAACACGGAGGATTACAAAACTGGAGAAACAATAAATATAACATATGTACAGTGCGTTTATATTACATTGGAACATACGATTTTGCATGCAATGGTGTTTCCCTATGTTCCATTAAAGAAAATCAACCTATAGGATATGTGCCGTTCACAACTATACACCTGTATTGGATAATGTGAGAGTCACACACTGACCTTTATTTAAAATGGATACCTAGCGCATATGGGTTAGTGAATTTTTAAACAAATTTAAACGTCCTCAATGTATTTGTGGATATGCGCTGTAGCTTTAGTACTTTAATTTCCTAGTTATATCATAAAGAACGCATAAATAAGAGAATAGGTATATTTAATCGTAATTGTGTTTATCTGACCATATACAGGCGTGACCGGACAAATTAGTTGAATTTATTAAATAACAACGTCACGTGCTAGATAACGAAAGCTGGTGTTTATCAATACCGACGCCAAAGTCGGGTTTCGAGAATCGCCAGGAACGATATGGAACGGATGAGTAAAGTTTGCTTGACCTTTAAGTACGAAGAATGAGAGATATAAAAGATGCTATTTAGCCTAAGGGGGATGTCTCGCCGTAATATTGTTTGCGGGTCGAGTTTTTTTACGCTTGAAGTGTTACACATACGTTTCCGTAGTTAAAAGGATGAAGTCATTATTCAGTTTGTGATAAAGTATTGTTGATTAAAAATCTTATCACTCGACCAGCCATGATAATTATTTGTTAACATCTTCAAACGAGTTATTAGTTTACCAAGTTGTGTGTTAAACAAAAGTGACTTTTAGAAGCTATATCAGCTTTTCTTTATCATGATGCATCGTAGAATCAATTCTTGTAATTTCTTGTTATTAATCAATCGTGTGTCAATTTGAATCCCGATTTGTTACGCCACTGGATATGTTTTAGCGCGAGTCTTAATAGTCTTAGAGTCTTATTATGAAACTGGCAGAACTTAAATAGCTTGCAGTGAATGTGTCAGTATTAATGAAAATTAGGCAAATGTACCATTTATTTTCCTTTGTAATTAGCATGGGGTGCAGGGTAATTGTTCTTTTTGTACGAGTATTATTACCTGACAATTTATTAGCTGTGTGATATAAAGGTTCGGACTTTTGTTTAAGATTACACAATGTCTTTAAGTGGTATCAATTCAGTTAGAGTAACACTTGCACTTAGGGGTAGGTTTGTTTATAGATGTCCCATACGAAATATTTACACATGCATGTTACAACTTATAATACCAATATCAGACTAAAATCCAAATAATTCCAAATTACGTACCCCTTTAATAAATGGGTTTCGGATTGCGATGTAAGGAGAAGAAAGGTGATTAAATTAAAACATATCGCATAACCTAAAAAGAAACGTGTTAACTCAATAACGAATCCTATTTAAATACGTTTACCTCGATAAGATACAACAGCGTTCATTCTCATAAATACGTTTAGATTTATTTTGGACAATTTTAGCTTGCTTGTCCGGATTTTCAATATGAGATTTCCATATCTTTCACAATATAAGAACCTCTCAATTCAACGACAAAAGCATTCCCATTTGCAGTTGTACCAATACACTCCGAACACACTAAAGCGCATTTACTCAGTTACTCAAACTAAGGGTGAATTCAACG